CCCCAAAACCCCAAAACCCCAAAACCCCAAAACCCCAAAACCCCAAAACCCCAGGTCTTAGATTGTTAATAGAAATGAGCATTATCTGATATAATTAATAAAATTCTCGCTCCTCTCTTGCTTAATGACCATCATAATTTTGTCAAATTTAGCTCCAAGCTCATGATAATTCTTCTCTTCAATTGATTTTCTGTCTTCTTTATTGCCTAAAGGGATAATATAGAAAAATTACTCATTTTCTCAATCTTTAAGGGCAAATTACACCTTTCTACAAATTGTTTGACCTTCTTCTGATATTTCTTCCTGGAATGCTCAGTGTTAGAAGGATTATTAGCCTTAAGGAAAAGAGCAAATAGCTTCAAAGCAGTCTCTTTTACACTTAGAGTAGGGTACTTCATCCTAAGACTGGTCACCTCCAGTAGACCTCTGGTTGCAATAGCACCAATGCTTTGTTCCAAGAATGGGATTGAATCATCGTTCTCTGCAAATGTCAATAATGAGATCTTCTCTTCGACTGGTGGAATCTTAACTGGAAGGGACACTTTGCTATATCTCACTGGGTTTGCTATAAAAATTAACTTATTTTGCTTACCCATGAATCTAATCAATTTGGCTGAAGTCTGGAAGATGAATTTGTGCTCTACAGGTTATTACTACAAATTTACCTTTGTATAAAGCTAGGAACAGTTGGTACCCTTTCTCAACTTTCCCGCTTTCGTAGAGAGTGACAGGGCAGTAATTAGCTAAATTCTTCTCTTTGCTGATTATCTGGGCTGCATTGTACATATCTGTCATCTGTGGAATATCAGTTGTAAACAACTTCACATCAGAGAAGTTTTCAGGATTCTCGATGAAAATATCACGCTGTTCGAGTGTTCTGAAATAGTACAGGTGACGAAGAGCAGAGCCAGGTGGTTGATAGAGAATAGCTGTACATTCCATGTATTTTGAATCAGAGAAGGTCTGGTGGTGCTTCCAAGTCACTGGGCAGAAGTACTTGAATCCAGACAAACACATTGTATGCAGAGATCTGTGTATGTTGAGATACTGAAGAGCTCAAGCCTTGGTATTGTCTAGAATATTCCTGGCAAAAGTAGATTTAGAGTGAGTAGAATTCCTAATATGCATCAAGATTTTCTCTTCCACGAACCATTTGGATTTGAGACCGTTGATATACTGGACATTTCCAAATGCATTTTCATAGTATCCAATAACTCCAGGGTTCTCAAGAAGATGTCTGGACAATCTCTCAGAGATAACTCTATTTTCGTACATAAACTCTGTAGCGCTAAGGTTTGCAACCCTGCTGTAGCAGTATTCAGACTTCATGTCCATATAGAAAACAAAATCAGGAACAATACCCACTTCTGTTAGCTTCATAGCTTGACTCTGAGTCTTTGGATAATCCTCAAGTAGGAATCCGTTTCTAACACAGTCTCTGTACTGGATTCTTTTAGCGATCATTTCCACAAGGAGCTGCTCTGAGATTTGCATTCCTCTTTTAACTTCATCTCGAAGTTTATCTCCAAGTTCACACTCAGATTCAATAAATTCAGGGATGATGTCTTCGATTTTTATGTGAACCATTGAGGTCTTTTGGCTAATCTTTTCTCAGATGGTAGACTTTCCACAGGAAGGAGTTCCTAGGACGAAGCATGTCGGCTGAAGCAACACGTCTTTTGGAACAGATTCATTCTTACAGTATACCTCTGGACTTAGACTAAACTTATCTTTCTCATCTTGGGTGCTGAAGAAATACAGTTGGTCCCTGTAAATTAAGGCATGTTGTTTGGTCAGACTTGGCCTAGCAATATCAAATAGAGATTTGTAGCCATATTTGCTGAGGGAATAGAGATAGGAGTTTTCATAGAATTTGACCTCCTCTGGTTTGAGATCGATGATCTGAGATCTCTCATACATAGAATTTCTCTCTTCTAAGTAGTTTTTAGTATGATCCAAAATTCTGAGGTTCACTCTATCCATATCAAGATTTCCATCAACCTTAATAACAGGGACCTTCATATCAGATACTTTTGTCTCAAATTCTTCAATAAAATCAGCTTGAGTCGTTCTACCCTCAATTAACTTCTCTTTTGCTTCTTCAAGCATTGCTTCAAGATTTGGTGCATCGGGATCATCTTCATCTTGTTCTTGCTCATCTCTTTCTTTATCCCAATCTGCCATCTCTTGGTCAATTTCTTCCTGTGGTTTCTCCTCGTCTCCCTTTAGTTCCTCTAGTTTGGCATTTCTGTCTTCTTCTCTTTGTTTGCGTTTTTCAGCATTTCTGATCTCAACCAGTTCTTGGTATTTTGCTTCAATTTCATCTCTATCTAAAAGTCTTTCAAGCATCTTATCTTCAGAGACTGATAGAGAGATAACTAGTTCAGGAGGCCTTCTTGAGTTGAATAATAGATCAGTGTATTCAGTGGCAATTTCATCTTCAGGGAGATCGAACCAGTCACCATCAATGATAAGTACTGAGCCAGCATTGAAAATTGACTTAAATACTTCCTTTTCATGAGCTTCTTTGTCAAAGTCTTCAGCTTCATCCTCAATTTCTGGATCTGGTTCAGGCTCAGCATCATCTTCGACTGGCTCAGGAGCCTTGAACCCTCTAGCCAGGAGCCTTTGCTTCTTCCTTTCTTCTTTCTCTTGATTGATCTTCTTCAAGAATTCTTCCTTGAGTAAGAAATCAGATACCTTGTATTTAGCACAAATTTTCTCAATCTGAGTTGTCACTCCTGATCCTCTTGGACCGACAATCATTATATGAGGTTCAGGTGGTCTTTGGATGCCTTCTTTGATGTATTTCATTGGATCTGCTTTGAATTCTTCAAGCTCTTGCTCTCCAGCAAGTTTATAGACTCTTTCATCTACTTGAGCTTCATGCTCGTCTGATCCTGGATAAATCCATGAATCTTTTGTTAAAGTTACAGGACAGAATGATCCATATTCTCCGAAAGGGAGTGGCTTCTCTTCTTCTCCAACTTCATCACTTGTCCTGACATTTTCTGGATCATCTACTTGGCAGAAGAATGGATCTATGGCTGCATATACTCTTGCCATGACATCTTCAACTGTTCCATTTCATGAGATTTCATTAACAATATCTTCATACTTCTCTTTATAAATACCAAGTGCTCTTTCTCCATTTTCAAGCTCATACTGAAGATCATAGAATGGGTCGTCTTTCATCCTTTGCTTTAAGACCTCTCCTGGATTTTCTTCATCTGTATCATTGAGATACAAAATTTTGTCAAACCCAATTCCATCCTTCTCAAGATTCTCAATATGTTCAATAGTCTGTGGGAACCCTATCAAGATATATCCGCCAACAAATGGCTTTTTCAGGGTCTCTTCGTCCTCGATTTTTAAATCAAGATCAGCCAGGTTCATATCATCAAGAGGTTCTTCTTCATCCTCTCCTTCACCTTCGCCTTCAGCTTCTGGCTCTTCTTGTTTCTTCTTCTTGCGTTCTTTCTCACGTTTCTTTTTCTCCTTCAATTTCTTCGCTTCTTCTTTCTTCTTCTCCTCTTGTTTCTTCCGTTCTTCCTCTTCTTGCTTAGCTTTGGCTTCTTCATCTAATTCTCCCTCTCCTTCACCCTCAGGAATAGGAGGGGGTCTTCTCTTTTCAGTCTCAAAACCCATGAATTCATAGAACCAAGGCATGAACTTGAAGGCATCGTATGGGGCTCCTTCCTGAATTTGCTTCCATTCCTCCTCGGAGAGACCGAGAGGGTAGTCTTCAGCAAGAGGGTTGTTCGGGAGGAAGGGATCTTCCCTTTCCTTCATCATGTTGATCTTGTCAGAGATAAGAGCGTTCCAGTCGACTACTTTCCAACCATATTTTTGACTGAGGGTGTTCGCCACGGTTTTCTTGCCAGATCCTGTAGGACCAGAGAGTAGTAATCTAAATCTTCCAGGCATTTCTGGTGTCTTACTCAGATATTTCTTTGGTTCAGCAACAAAAGCTTGCTGGCTTTCCTCATTCTCAAACAAAAATACTCTGTCATTGAATGAAGCAGCGAAATCTGTTTGACCCTCAACGACTCTTCCGTTGTAAAGAGCAACAGGATCTGTTTGCTTCCAGAGAGACCATCTTCTTGGAAGTTCTCCCTCCTCTTTATCTAATGTTAAATACGACTTGTTATCTCCTTGAGCTTCCAGAGGAATGGCTATTGGTCTAAGAAGAGTATTTTCTCTTTTGACTCTTTCAACAAGAGTCTCATTTATCACATCAGGCCTCAATCCTGCCGCATCTAGTTTGATATATTGATGGTGATAGAGAGGATCTATCAATTTCTTCAAGAATGGAGCTTCAACTGAGTTATAATTCAATAAATCTTCTTCTAACTGCTGACTTCAATCATTAATTCTAATAAGTACTTGATCTTCCTGCAGAATCTTAGGCTTTTTGGGAGCTTGTGAGTTATCTGATTCATTTCCATCATCTTCCTGCTCTTCTTCATCATCGCCTTCACCTTCCCCTTCATCGCCTCTCTTCTTCTTTCTCTTTGGCTTTCTTCTTTCAACTCTTTCCCACTTACTAACAACTTCTCCTGTTGTTGGGTCAAATCTTATGCCTTGGGCTCTCTGCCTTACATCATTATCAGTCATGTCTAGGTCTACAATGAAGGAGATATCTTCTTGTTGGAAGGAGAGACCTCCTCTGCTGATGATCTCATACCAGGTCTCCTTTCTCTTACAGAAAGGTAAATCCAGGACAAATCCTTTTGTCTGAGCAAGGGAGCTTGAAACCATTGCTGAGATGATTTTTACCTGTTGTTCCTCGTCAGGTCCTTTTCCTATCAGCAATGCCTGATGTACCTCCTCTTCAAGATCATTAAGGAATTTAGGAGGTTCTTTTCCTTCAGAAAGATCATCTGGAGGTTCATATTCAGCGACCTTCTTCAGAAGAGGATTCAAATAGTTTTTGATATTGATATGAACAATATCCAGGGATTTACTGAGATCAGTGCAAACTCTTGTTTTTCCAGACCGAGGCTTTCCAATCACAAGTATTCATAATGGCTTTTTATTAGCTTCAATGATAAGGTCATTCTTATTGACAACATTATCAGGAATAAGCCCTTCCTTGCTTAAGAGATGTTTGAACCTAGCTTTAAGGCTATTTTGTTCTTCAATTTTTGGGTCAAGGACAACCTCAGTTCTTCTCGGTTGACTAGCGCTCTTTTTCTTCTTTTCCTCTCTTTCCTTCTGCTTTCTGCTTCTAGCTGCCTCTTTTTCTTCAAGTTTAACTCTGTTAGAGAAGAGGGACTCGAACTTTTTGCTTAGCATAAATTGTTGGATTTTCTTGTAGCTAGTCTCAGCAGGGATGAAGTCTTCTTCTCTCCTAACTCTGTCTTCTTCTTTCAAGACAAGGTAGTCCTTGTTTTCGACCTTGCTGATCTTTACTTTGAAGGCATATCTGATGTCCTTATGATCAACGATGTAGTTCTTGTTAATCCAGAGGTTCATCTTCTTGCTAGGGATGTGGCATAATTCCCATAGAACTCTTCTATCCAGGCAGGGATTATATCCTATTTTTGACATCTCACTTAAAACTCTCTTCTCACTTCCTGGTCCTACTGGGATAGCTCTCATATTGATGTTTGGATAAGTTGGACTAAGCTGTAATGAGAGAGAAATACATTCTCTCAAAGCTCTTCTGAAACTATTGTAGAGAGCATCAAGAATATAAGCTCAAAAAATATATTCTTTGTGGAATCCATTATTTGTAAAGAGGAAGAAGGTCTGAGTAACTCTTTCGTTGTTAACTTTCAAATCTCCTGGATCGTCAAAGTCCTTATTTTCATCGTCAAATCCTTTGTTCTTAGCTTTGTTTTGAGTGACAACTTCATAGACATCATTCTTCAATTTAAATAAGTATTGCTCCGTTGGGTACCCGAGAGGTAGAGTATACTCAGTCTTTATGAGCTGATCCACAACAGTGACACCTTCTTCAACATCAGCTAGGTCATATGATACCTTCTCAGTATATAAGAATGGATCTTTGATATGTGTAGTGACCATGATGCCTAATCCTGAGCCATTTTTGGGTCTCTTATATCTCTTCAGATCCATTGTGTCATTCTCATCTCCATATTTATACTCAAAATCACTCTTTTGGCTTTCATCTTCATCACATTCTACCCACTCAGCTCCATTTTCTTCGTTCTCTTCTTCATCTTCGTCATCTCCCTTGTCTTTGCCAAATTTCTTTTCTTCTTCAGGGAATGTGACAATAATTTTTGGTAGGATTTCCTTCCTAGTCTTTGCCTTGACAAGCACTTTGCATGTGACTCTTTCGTACAAAATGTTGAGCAAGAATGCATATTCTTCATAGTCTACATTGATGCACCAGGAGTGAGCAATCCTGAAAAGTACTCTTGTGAACAGGGTGTAATCCAATTCTTGGGATCCATGGCAGTCAAATATCCACTCACTGAGGATCTCTTTCTCTACTTCATCTTTTCTGTAATAAGGTAGTAAGACGATATAGAATCTGTGAAGAAGCTATAGATGTTATTTAAAGTGAACTACTTCTTTGTATAAGTCCTTGGTAATCCTTCCATCCTCATTCTTAGGGAAAAGAGCCCAAAACTTGCTAGCGATAGTCTGGAATGTCTCATGGTTGATCAACTTCTCTTCTTCATTCGTATATTGAGTCAGAATCGTTTCAAATTCTATGAGATAATGAGACCAAGAGTACTTACCAATTGTTGTTCCTGAAGGGGCTTCAGACATCTCTAATTTGAATTATAATAATTTAATTTGATTTTAAATTTTATTTCAAGTTTTACAGATTTATTGGGGTTTTGGGGTTTTGGGGTTTTGGGGTTTTGGGGTTTTGGGG